AGGTCTTTCGAGAAAGGTGTAAGGTGAAGCTCTGCCTGATTCACCAATCACCAGACACTTTGTAAAGCGCGTGTGTAGTTAATATCAAGAACATAATCGGGTGTTGACTGATTTTCCTCAAGGTTCTAAACCACTTGGTTGCAAATGGATTTTCAAAAAGAAAATGAATGTTAATGGGACTATTGAAAAGTTCAATGCCCGGTTAGTCATTCAAGGTTTTAGACAAAAACCTGGTGTTGACTATTTTGATATGTATGTTCCGGTTGCATGTATTTCTACTATTAGATTGTTTATTGCATTAGCAAGTATCCACAATATGGTCATTCATCAAATGGATGTGAAAACATCCTTTTTGAATGGTGAACTTCACGAGAAAGTTTACATGAAACAACAAGAAGGTTTCCTTATGCCTGGTAAAGAGCATATGGTTTGTAAACTTGTCAAATATTTGTATGGTCAGAAACAAGCACCTAAACAATGGCATCAAAAGTGTGATGATATTATTCTGTCCTCTAGTTTCAAGATTAACCAATTTGACAAATGTTTTTATAGTATATTTGATGATTCTACTAGGGCTTGAGTAATCATTTGCTAATATGTAGATGGCATGTTGATTTTCGGTACCGACCAAAATCAAGTGGATGAAACAAAAAAAATGTTATCATCAAAGTTTTCAATGAAAGATTTGGGAGACGTTGATATAATTCTTGGAATAAGAATTAAAAGGATGAACAGAGGCTTGGTAATGACTCAAAGTCATTATATTGAGAAAATTCTCAAGCGGTTTAATTTTACAGATTGTTCTCCTGTGAGCACTCCTGTGGATCCAATTATGAAATTAACGGACAACACAAGAACTCCTATTTCACAATTGGAATACTCTAAGGCCGTTGGTAGTTTAATGTATGTAATGACAAGTACCAGGCCTAATATTACTTTTGTTCTAGGAAATTTGAGCAGGTACACTAAAAATCCTAATGCTCAACATTGGCAAGTAGTGAGTAGAGTGTTTAAGTATCTTAAGGGAACCATGGATTATGGCTTGAGTTACTTGGGGTATCCTTCAGTTTTGGAAGGACATGCAGACGCAAGTTAGATAACCAACCTGGAGGATCATTCCTCAACGACTGGTTGGCTATTCTTGCTTGGGTAAGGTGCCATTTCCTGAGCTTCCAAGAAGCAAACTTGCATTAAAAACTCAACAATAGAATCTGAGTTTGTTGCGTTACATTATACTAGTAAAGACCCTAAATGGTTAAGGAACATAGTATATGAGATTCCTTTGTGGTCTAAACCGATAACACCTATTTCTATTAGTTGTGATAACGTTGCCGCTTTGGGCGAGGTTTACACTCAAGTGTGTAATGACAAGTGTCAACACTTAGGTGTCCGACACAATATGGTTAGAGAACTAATCATGAATGGTCTAATTTCGATTGAGTTTGTGAAATCGCAACAAAATTTGGCAGATCATTTGACTAAGGGTTTGTCAAGAGACTTAGTGCACAAGTCTATGATTGGGATGAGATTAAAGTCCATCTAAATTTTGTAATGGTGAGACACCCAATTCCCTCCTAATATGACATTAGGAGCTGAATTGAATGTGGAAAGCTGAAACTTATAGATTGGAACACATGACGTATATATCGCAAGTAATGTGTTTGGTTTTGCAGTTGACCAGGTTGAAGTTTAACTTCTTAATAATTCCTTTGATTAAATGTATGTTCAGTTACATGGAAAGGAGTTACTTACATGATTGTGAACTGTAGTCGCATTTCAAGAGGTTGTGGACTTGGCCTTGATACGATCATGAGAGGATTAGGACACGCGGCTAAATAATAGTGTCAAGTTGTATTTTGCTAGAAATTTCAATAAACTAGTATGTATTTTACTTTATGGTATTCAAATGGGTTGATAGGTTCAATTCTTAAAACACTCTAATTCTCGAGTATTTGTAAGAGTATGATACTAAATGGAAATTCAACATTACGACATTTTCATTGTGTACTAGTTTGGTTTTGTGTTGATAAAGTTATGTTTTTTCAATGGTTACACTAAAATGGGGGAGGATTGTTGGTGATTTTAGTGTCACCAAGTCATTTTGTGTAAGTGGAACTTACATGTAAGCTAAGGGGCTTCGTAATTTGTACTCTAATATGTTTGCGTTTGTGCGGAGTGCGGAGTGCATGTATGTATAAGATCGAATTAGAAGCCGGTTTGACGACTAGTCAGGGGTCCGGGGGTAGCGCCCCTGGGTTTGGGGTCTAGGGGCAGCTTCTCTAGCGGGGTCCAAGGGGCAGAGCCCTTGGATGGGATCCTACTGCTAGTTCAATAGGTGGGGTTGAGGGGCAGCACCCCCGCATGGTTTTGGGCAGCGCCCTAAAAGCTCTTCGAATTTTACATGTGGATACATAACGGAAAAATCAAATTCTTGAGGGGGATTATGGTAAAATTGACTAATATCGTCAGTTTTGGAAACCCTTAAATTCCTCATTAATTCCGGATTCCCTTGACTTCTTTCCAAAGGCATCTATGACGACCAACCCAAGAAGGAAACCCTACATCTCGTTTTCTATATAAATTACTATCCTCTTGAGGAGAAAAACCACCTTTTAGCTGTCTTTTTTCTTCCTACAAACTCAGAATATTCTAGCAATTTGGTTTATGTTTTTTTTTGCCTAGATTCATAAGTGTCCCCTTGGAATTATCCTAAGCTGACTTTCTTGTAACCCGAGCATAGGGTAGAAAAATCAGTTCGGAAAGTGTTTACACGATCCAAGGGGTATCTAGATCTCCACTATAAACCCTAAACAACTTCTAACACAAACCCAATCCCACATTGGTAAAATAAGAAACTAGATGCTAGCATATAAGGAAATGAGTAATCCCTTCTAACATCAATAGGTTTTAGAAAATGGAACCTCGTTGTTCTTTAATGTTGGGCATGGTTGGGCTGGTAGCGATCCTAACAATAACATTGCTATGTATGATCTATTGTACTCTATTAAGAACTTGTACATCATCCGACATGAGAAAACCAAACGTATCAAACACGAATGGGATGAACACGTGTTAATTTGCCATGCTCGATTTCTCGAGTTTTGTGACTTTGCATGTAGCAGCTTTTAAAGCATCCTGTCCCACCTGAAAGCCCCCAACTCTCAAGCCCATGGTAAGGGATACCCCTGTAAGGTCCACACATGCATGCTTCCCTCAAACCCATTTAAAAACCAGAAGTTAGTCTAAGGGTTGACCTTCCTTCTATCGAGTCAATCACGAAATTCACAAACGCCTCTTTCTTTCCGGAAACCCCAACACACTTAAATATATCAAACAAAACATTCCTAACCATATCGTATTGGTATTTAAACCCTGGGATTTCTTTACCATGAACCACATGTTCTCCAAAAGAGTCCTAACATTACTTGTGACACAGCGAACATATCTCGTCAGCTCGGAATATTGAGATCAAGAGCCGATGTTTAATGATAGCACGATACTTCGTAGGAGACATATGATGGCCAAACCCAGGGATAGCTAGAAGAAAATCTTGAGCATGTTGTGCTTCTAAACACTTGATAACTACTTTCTGCTGAACCATCATGTCGAAATGCACTTCCATGTCTTGGACAATTTTCTAAAAATGGAACTCGCTAGTGTATGCTTGGATTTAAAGGGGGGGTGTACTTATTAGTGAAACGGCTAAGGTCAATGTTCGGAAGCGTGTTACAAAGAGAAATCAAAGCACAAACACAATAAAGTCTGTACCACATATGTTGTTATCCCGTAAGATGTGGTAACACCCATGATTGGGCCCTTGAGGCAACAAAAGCGTATGAGGTAGTTAAATTATTTTCTCATATTAGTGAATAACCTCGTATTTTAAAAACCATAATTATGGATAGTTAAACTATGTTTTAGGACCTAAATTTCGCAACATCACTTAAAATTGATTAAATGTTTTGAAATATAAATTTAAGACTTTTAACTTATACAAATGGTGTTTCAAAATTACTCATGGTTAATCTTACTTATACTTTAAGAAAACTGAAGCAAGCTTGCTTATTTATTTATTTATTTATTTTTCTAATCTTTAGGGTTCATAATTGTTATTATCATGTGGATTTTATATGATTTTGCAATAGGTTGTATAATGACACAATAATATACTACCAAGAGGCCCTTGTAATATCTACAAGAACTATAACCATATACGGCGGTTTAACATACTCATTCCATTTCTTGGTAATTTTTACATGACTTAATCGAGAAAACTATATATTGATGTTTGAATTCTTAATGCTAACTTTTTTACTTGGTTATCATAGTTTTGCACCAAACTATTATTATAAGGTAAGTTGGATTGGAAAGAATGGTTTCCATCATACGAAGAATACATTTGATTTTGTATTTTTCATACGTATGAACAGGCATAATATATTAACCTTGACGACTAGTTTCTGAAAAGAAATGTTGATGGTGGTTTTTGTTGATGAAAGTTACCAATATATGGAATCTGTAATATAACATTCAACATTTTTTTGGTGCATTTGCATTTCAGCATTTTGATCTTCATTTTCAACCCAAGAAATCGTGTACATTTCCAGTTGTATTTCATTTACTTAGTTGACAAATATCAAGTCCCTACTTGTTATAATTTTATCAAAACAGTTGTTTTGAGAATTTTAAGAAATTTTAAAAAATTGTAAATTGTTTTCAAATAAATCTATTAATATATTAATTAATCATTCTAGATGTTGACGATAAAACTCAAATGCTATATACACAAAACACACATTGTATTTATTAACAGTAGAACAGATTGACTTTCATATATATAGTAGACTTTATAACATTTAAATTTTAAGGTAGACGAAGGAAGAAAAAAGAGACATAGTCTGTACCATACTCTTGACTGTCATAGACAACTTATTTATCAACACACAATTATAAAAGCATAAACTAAGACGTAATTATAAAAACTTAAGACTTACCAATATTCATTGACTAGGATTGCGATAAAATGTTATTGATGTTGATGTTGACTCGCCGTATGTAAGTGCTACTTCCTCACAATGCTTCGCATGTCCAAAATTAGGTTCAGTTGTTGAGGGAACATGTGATAATCTGATGCCTTCTAACTCAGAAGCAACTTCTTTCATTGTTGGCCTATTTCTCCCATTAAAATTCAAGCATTGCATTGCCAAGTTAGCTACGGACAACAACTCATACCTAGAACCCTCTTTAACAACACTTGCATCAAAAATAGACATCTCCCGGCCTTCTTCCATGGCTAACATGAAGTGTGTAGCTAAACTTCTATTTTCACCAAATCTAGTTAAAGAAATTGGTTTTTCCCTAGTCAAAAGTTCTAACAAAACAACTCCAAAACTATATACATCACTTTTCTCGGTGAACTGGCTCGACTGGAAATACTCTGGATCCAAGTAACCAAATGTCCCTTTGACTAAGGTAGTCAAGTGTGTTTGATCTATTGACACTAACCTCGAAGTTCCAAAATCCGAAACTTTGACTCTATACTTTTCATCCAAAAGTATGTTAGTACTTTTGATGTCCCTATGGTATATTGGAATAGAGGTTGATGAATGTAAGTATGAAAGTGCCCCTGCAACCTCTGTGGCGATTTGTAATCTCATGTTCAAAGAGATCAAAAACTCACCGGTTTCATCATGAATAAGGTCATATAATGTACCATTTGATATGAACTCCGAGACAAGTAATGGCACCTCGGTCTCTAGGCAACATCCCAGTAGTTTGACGACATTTCTATGACTTACTTGAGAAAGAATGACCACCTCATTGATGAACTGTTCTAGTTGGCCTTCATCAACCACCTTTGATTTTTTGATTGCAACGATTCGTCCATCAGCTAGCATGCCTTTATATACTGTACCTTGACCTCCTCGACCAAGAATTCTGTTCTCATTAAAATTGTCGGTGGCCTTATCTAATTCGTTGGAGGTGAAAAGAATGGTTTTATCAACTAAACTAATATCGGTTGTTTGTTGTTGTCTAAGAAGAATACCACCATTACGTTTAAAAAACCTTTGCTTCCTTCTCTTGGCTTTAGTTTTCTTGATTATTTTGTACAATGCATAGCCCATCACTATTAGCAATAGCAGCCCTATGCTTATACTAACACCTGGAAAAAAAAAGGGAAATATTACATAAAAACAAAACATAAGAAAATTAAAATGTTCAGCAATATTGTACATTGCATAATTCATCATTATTAACTATATATATTACAATCACTTGAACATTTATTTTATTGTAGTATTACTTACCCTCATTTTAATAACATTTCCATTTTATCATCTAAATGATATCCTATATTTATAACATTATTGTTTTTACTAATTAATTTAAAATTGAACTACACGAATGGTCCACGTGGTTTGGAGTAATTTGTGCGTTTAGTATCTAACTTTCTTTTTTCTTTTTTAACTCTGAGGGTCTTTACATTTTAATTTTGTAACGTGTTTGGTCCTTCTAAAAGTTAGAAGGCTATTATACCCTTTGTGCGTTTAGTATCTAACTTTCTTTTTTCTTTTTTAACTCTGAGGGTCTTTACATTTTAATTTTGTAACGTGTTTGGTCCTTCTAAAAGTTAGAAGGCTATTATACCCTTAATAAGTTTTTTTTTAATTAATTAATTTATCGTTTATTATCTAATACTTATTTAAATTAGAATGGGCTTTTATTTAAAACCCCACTCACTTAGCCATCCAATTACCTAACTCTTTTCTAGTTGTCTTTACGTGCATTTCTCTTCATTCTTTGTGTTCTGTGTTCTGTAATGAAGAAACTCAAAAAAACCATAAATCACCTCCATAAACCACCGGCCGGCATCTATTCCGACGAACCACTGTAGTTTACTCTTAATTTAATTTATTTAATATGTAAATTAAAATAATAATAATTGTATTTTTTTTATTTGTGTAACTATATAATTTGACCCCTATATATATATATATATATATATATATATATATATATATATATATATATATATATATATATATAGTGTTAGGTTCATGTGAGACGATCTAATTTTGTGAGACCGTGAGACGCAATCCTAGCTATTCAATTTGTAGATAAAAAAAACATTTTTAAAATGCAAACTAATAGAAAATTTTTGAATTTTTTTAAAAATATTATTTTCGTAATTTATATTTTCTAAAAATAAATAAAAAATAAAAAATAATAAAATTACCATTTTTTACATATTTTAGTAGAATATTAGAATATTTTACATATCTGATAAATATAGTAGATTAGTAGAATATTCTAACATTTTAAAAATCACATTAGAATATTTACAGTGTAATATTTTATTAGAATATTTCATATATTTTTCAACAAAAAATGCATTTTTTTTTATTTTTTTTAGTAAATAAAATGAGGAAAATAATAATTAGAAAAAGAATTTTCGAATTTTTCTTTTATTTTGCATTTTAAAATTATTTTTAAATTGCGTTTTATGGTCTCATAAAATTAACATGGTCTCAAATGAACCTGAACCTAATATATATATATAGATATATATATATATATATATTATATATATATATATATATATATATATTACAAAATAAAAGGAAAAAATCCAAAAACTCTCTTGTAAAGTAATATTTTCGTTATTTAATTTATCCAAAAGAATAAAAAATAAAAAAAAACACCATTTTTTTTTGAAATATAACTGAAATATTCTAATAGAATATTACATTGTAAATAATCAAATCGAATTTTTAGAAATATTCTACTAAAATTTGTAGATATATTAAAATATTCTAATATTCTACTTGAATTATTAGATTTGTTAGAATATTTTAATATTTTGTTAGAATTTTTTGAATACTTATAGTTTAATATTTTAGTATAATATTCAATTATTCTAAAAATTCGATTTAAGTATTTACAGTATAATATTTTATTAGAATTTTTCCGTACATTATGAAAACGACGGTATTTTTTTTATTTTTTGGGTAAAATAAATGACAGAAAATAATATTTTAAAAAAATTCGAAATTTTTATTTATTTTGCATTTAAAAAATATTTTTTTTATCTTTAAAATAAGTAGTTAGGATTGCGTTCTCATGACTCAGAAAATATGATGGTCTTATATCAATCTAACCCACCAATATATATATATATATATATATATATATATATATATATATATATATATATATATATATATATATATATATATAAAAGGGGTGTTTGGCTAAGCTTAGTTAATCTAATTTTTTGCTTATTATCGATTCCAAATCGGTGTAAGTAAAAAACAATGTTTGGATGAGAATAGCTTATTCAGGTGTCATACATAATAAGTCAAAGTCAATAAGTTTAGAAATCCTTAATTTATCAACTTATAGGTTATAAGTTATAAGTTGGAAAATATTAATGATTTTTTCATAAACTTTGCTAAACACCCTCGTAAGAGAGGATGGTCAAGAGAATCTTTCAAATAAATGGGGTAAATGGTTAGTTATAAAAAATGTTATATACTAAGGGATGTTTTCAAAGATATTTTTTTTATTGATTTGATATATTAGATAATTTATAATATTAGTTAGTTATGGATGTTGTCAAGATATTGAATGATATTTATATTGTTTAGAATTTGATATTCATGTCATGACGAGTGTTTTGACAAATATTTTTTAATAATATTTTTATGTGTATAAAGTATTTTCTTTGTTTTTGTTTTATATATCCATTTGAATAAATGTAATTAGTAAAAATCATAATATTTAATATTTTAATATAATTATGAGTAAATTATTAAAATCATAATAGCGGTTTGGACAAAATTATGCGTCTATATAGTCTAGTCTCTAACTTTTATTTTACATTCGGATCTATGTTATTTCTGTTGCATCGTCCGTCATATGTAGAAAGACTACCCTTTCTTTACTAGGACTTTTTCTTAACGTTTTTAAGTATTTTATATAGCTACTTTTAATATTAATATAAACATTTCGGTAAAACACCTAACCCTGTCACCTTCTTCATCATCATCACATGAAACACCACCTTTGCTGCCGCCACACACCGACTAGCCACTACCATTTATCCATCCCTTACTTCACCATATGCACCCCCACTGAGATTATAATTTGTTGGCACAAGCACCGCCCCCATTGAATTTTTTTCAAAAATACAAAACTGATAAAAACTTATAAAATATATAATTATAAAAAAACGATCATAAGATTATATAATATTTGTGTAATTAGTATTTTATATTAGATGTTAAAATGAACTACATAATTAATTACTCAAAAATCATAAAAATTAAAAATTAGTTAAAGAATAGATGAAATTTTGTAAACTAAACGAGGTTAATTATAAAACATTAAAACAAATGGTTAATGTTTTACGGAAAAAAATAAAATTAGAATAAGATCAAGAATACCTTACCTAGAATAACACCCAGTGAAATTTTGTTGTCATAAAGACACGTCACATCCGAGTCCAAGCCCTCGTTATAGTAACAATACCCCCCTCTAGCTTCGCAATCTATGCATTTTTTGTCTTCTTTTGTGTTTCCACCTTCGTCCATGTAGCCCCATTCCAGTGATACTGGAACAAAACTCTGGTCCTCCACAGTAGATTGACTGGAAAATCTTCCTTTCGAGTATGAATTCTTATCCACCAAGAAGGCAGACCTACTGCAGCTTACATTTCCAGCATGTCCTACCAAGCCAGTTAGATTCAAGGTAAACGATTTGAGATCATAAGTCATTGTAGTTTCGCAACAACCGATGCCAAAACAGTTGTTTCTTTTACTAACAATCTCATTGCCACAAGTAGTTGAACAACCACCGCTAATATCCCCATTCTCATTAATGATGACGCCATTGCCACACCCTTCAACAACGAATAAGTTACCGTATTTGGAAAAATAGAACGGACTTTTGTTTAGGTCAAGACTACTATTCTGGATTGGATTTTGGCAATCCGAAATCATAGGGACATTAACAGTGAACCTTTCAAATTTTATATCCAACAACTCCAGATTGTTGAGGGCGGATAAATATGGTGTCGAGGAGTTACAATCAATATTGAACCATTCATTTCCTGAACAGCTTCTTCCAATCCCGAAAGGATATGGAATCGAGACATTCCCACACATATTGCTGCATCCTACTGAAGTATCATTTCCTTTCAAAGAAAGGGACACAGGAACAAAAAGGTGGTCTTGGACAATAGATTGGCGACCAAATTTATTGTCTGGATATCGATCATACGCCAAGAAGACAGATCCGCACGAGGTTCCATCTCTATCGTCCTGCCTTTCCAAGCCTGTTCGATTCAAGGTAAACGACCGGAGATCTTGAGGAATTGTAATTTTGCAACAACCGACACCGAAACAATTTTTTATGTCACTTACAGTGTCCTTGCGACAAGTTGTTGAACAACCGGTAACAATAATACCGTTCTCCATGATGATGTCAGCATGGCCACATCCCTGAACCACGAACATGTTATTGTATCCGGAATAACGGAAAGGACTTGTGCTTAGGTCAAGACTAAGACTGCTATTCTGGAGTGGGTTCTTGCAATCAGAAATCATGGGGACATTAACAATGAAATTTAAGTATCCAAACCCCTGCAACACCTCCACGTTGTTGAGTGCAGGAAGATAAGCCCTCTGTGAGTTACATTCAATGTTGAACCATTCGTTCAGAGAACAGTTTATTCCAATCCCGAATGGGAAACGAATACTGGCATGGCCACAGCTACGCTTGCATCTCGGCTGGATGTAATTATGTGCTTTTGTGAATGTTGTTAACGAAATCAGGATAAGTAAATGCAAAACTTGAAACTGCTGCATTTTGGAAAATGGAAGGAGGGATATTAATAATCAAAACTCAGTGAATTCTGTGTTCAATTGTGCTGCCAGGTTCGGTATTTAAGACAAATTTAATTCATGGTTTACGTACCTTGACTCAACAGGTTCCAACTTTACCCTTTTTTTTCCACAAATAAAACAAATCGGTTAGAATAAGAACAACATGTTTAATATTTTTCTATTGGTTTAATATTAATAGAAAAATTGCAATTGTAACGAATTTCCGATCTCCAAATCGTAGTTGAACTATTATTTTACAAACGACTTGTTATGAAGTCTACGCTTGTAATTTGTCAACAACTACTTCGATGGTAAATTTGGTTATTATATTATTTAACTGTGGAGGGAAAGAACCCAGTCCTTTCGGAACAACTTTTGTCAAAAAAATAATCAGTAAAGTAAGATTTTTGTTAGAAAGGATTTCTTGTTCGATGCTAAATAATATAATGAAAATTAACGACATAAAATTATAATTATCTATATCCTCCATCCCGTGTAATTTTTTGGAGCGCTGAAGAGAAAATATTAGCTTCTTGTAAAAAATATATATATTATATTAAATAACAAAGATTATTTTTTGTTGAAGTTGACTACTCAATAAGTATTTTAAGTTGATAAAAAATGTAATTATATATTAAGTTAAAAAAGCTAAGTACTATGATGAAGGTGAAATTTTTTTTACTCAAATTTTGTGTTTGATAATATTTGGTTCAGGTGTAAGATGGCGCAGGAAGCTCGAGTGTGGGTGTTTAAATGGTGTGGAATTTCAATTAGACAATTTTCATCAATTTCCGAATTTTTAAATTTTGCGGCTGACTCGAGTGTGGGTGTTTAAATGGTGTGGAATTTCAATTAGACAATTTTCATCAATTTCCGTTTTTTTAAATTTTGCGGCTGATTGGGGTCACTGCACTCGGAAAAGATTGATTCTCAAGGTGATTTTCTTTTGTCTACTTTGGTACACTTGGCTAGCAAGAAATGATAAAGTATTCAAGAAACTATGCACATCTCCCTCCAAGATTCTTGATAATGTTATCTCACAACGTATGTTTGGTACAAATATAGGAGTTCACAATGTTGTGGTAGTTAGATTGATTGGAGTGTTTGCCCTTTTAATCATCTTATTTTGTAAACTGTTATTGTATTTTTGCCCTTCGATTATGCTACTTTTGCCCTTAGATTATGCTACTTGTTAATCGTTGTGGGCTTTTATATCCATATATTTGTTGTTTCCAAAAAAAATTGGTATTGTTATAATCAATAATCAATTTTATAATCTAGAACCAACGAGTGATGAATGATTGATAAGGAGTCTTAGGTGCCTTTTTTTTAATTAATGGACTAAATGAATGTGAAACTATATATATATATATATATATATATATATATATATATATATATATATATATATATATTCAAATGAGAACAATTTTTATTTTGAGAACAATGAGAACAAATCCCAACCAATCATTATCATTTAACAAAGGCACGTTCCACCAGGGGTATTTCCGTAACTTTGTCTGTTATAAGCGATTTTTCATCTGATACCTTTCGATTTTTGACGTAACTTTGTTGAGAATATCCAGTGAGTTCTTGTTGATTCGCTTCGATCTTTATGGAATTGCTTCTAAATACTGTCGATTTCTATGATTTTGCTTACAAAATTTACTGTGTTTTGTACGCCAATTCTTATACAAGAATCGATTACATCATCCTCGAAGAGGTTAGGTTTAACAGGTCATTCTATCAAAAGGTAAAAATGGTCATTTTGCATAACTTTTTTTGATCATTAAACACTCTTATTTGTAACTACTTCAACTATTTTAGTAATCGAATCAGTTATTCAAAATTTTGAGTTCGAAAAGAATTAGGTTTAGCATATCGTTCTTCAAAAAAGTAAAAATTGTCACTTTTCATAATTGTTTTTTGAACATTAGATGTCGATTTTATTTCTAATGTTTATTTTGCTAATTTTTGTTTTGAACGTGAATTGCAACAACATATATGAAGTATAAATCGAGATTATTGAGTATGACGCTATTAATCGCGACTTATGCTTGTAAAAAGGCTAAAACATTCTGTTATAAATTGTAATACTTCATTCAGTTCTGATTAAAAGCTTTTATGAACAGGTTTTGCTTAGCTATTATAGAAACAAATCATTGTTAAAATCATACGTTATTGATATTTGTTATAAACTCAAAGGATTTTAATGATACATCTTATAATACAATGCTGTAAATCATATATGATTTATATCTATTATAATCATAAATGTTTTAGTCATATATGATTATAATCATATGTGATTACTGTGTTTTATATACACAAAGATATTATATCATACATGATTAGCATATGTTATGAACATTAACTTTTATATTATAGTGTTTTAAATTATATATGTCTTTCTGTTGCTAATCACAAGTTTTATTGTCTGACAATGTCTTTCCAAGTGATAATGTGAATCTATTTAGAAATAAAGATCAAATTAGTATTTTTGTTGAGAGTGTTGAAGATGTTGATAAAGAAGTTGAACAATTCAAGTCATCAAAAACAAAACTATAGTGTTTTTAGGTAAATTTTCTTTTCAATACTCATTTAATCACATATGATTATATACACAATTCATTTTTTCATTCTTGTTGTAGTAGAAGTAAATGTGTTTGTTAATCATATGCAATTAATTAGTAGTTTTGTTATTTAATATATTTAATTCTAGTCTCAATCATATGTGATTATCCATTTTTTGGTATTGAATAAATATTGACATATGTTTAGTTTATCTATGTTCCATTCTATATTATAATCACATATGATTATACAAAGGACTTCATTGTTAAACCATAGGTACGTGGTTTTCAACAGGATGGGTAAACCAAAAATAAAATCAGTGGATATTAAAGATCAACCTAATACAACCTACAAGGTGTCAAATTGTAAAGCTATATGGAACATCCCAAAAATCAAGGTAAAATTTTCATTTTTAAAATCCAACTAAAAACCATAATTGTATACAAAACATTATTCCTAAAAGTAATAATCACAAATCAGAGTATCCCAAAATCAAATATCATAAAATCAGAAGGATGTGTACGATCACGCCTTTGCTTTACCCTGATCATCTGAAGTAGCTGAAACATAAAACTTAAACTCTAAGCCAAAACTTAGTGAGTTCCCCGAAAGTACCACACAAAACCAATACAGATAACAACATGCATAATATGAGCCTTCAGCATGACTGGACCGCCTCACATGGCCTACAGCCTATCTAGACCGCTCTCTGGTTTGACCAGATGGGACCGTCTCTCGGGCCTTTAGTCTATCTGGACCATCCTGTGTATCTTTGTAACATCTCAAAAATCATGTAAATATTTGGGATTATAAAATTAGTATATAAAATGAAATGATGAATATATACATGTGAACAGTGTAACATCCTGAAAATCCTGGGATCGTAAAGGTGAGTTATGACAATGTAATAATACATATACGAATGTTTGTAATTGGAAAATGTGTATAAAAGTAAGAAAATAAGGAAAAATGGAAGTTTCATAAATGGCTAACAGTCTTATTTTGAACTCGTGTAAAATGGTGTATGTGAAATACACGTAAAATTGGAAAGTGGTAATGTGACATGGGATTACCAAGTAAGTAACACAAAAAGATTTGGCCGAAACCGAGGTCGTTGTAATAAGATATTAGTACTCAAAGTTGCGAGAAAAATACGGTAAAAATGAACACTTAGAATATTTCTAAGTATAAAATGTAAATTGTAAAATGCTAATGTTTCGGGCTCAATAACTATAACGATATATGATCAATTAAAATGATACTTGAACTTAACATGAAGTTAAGATGAAGAAGAAAATAGAGAAACAAGAATCATTTAAATTGAAGTTTGTACGAAGAATATACAAACGTGAGAAGTTGATAAAAAGTTAAATTTGTTAAGAAAATATCGATAACTAAAACCGAGTTTAAAACTGAACTGTGTACGAGATGACGGGTTTTAAAATTTTACATTCATCTATAATAGCTAAATAGTTCTGAATAGCCGGAAATATTGTCGGAATAACTGGGAGTAAAATCGTTATTTTTAGAAAATAATAACGTTAGTTAGTACACAAAATTTGAAGTCTTGGAAGACTGACTTCCAGGCATCCAAATTGAGGAAAGCATATATCATTTGGTAGAGCTCATGACATACTAAATAAAGCAAGTTGACTCGGGTTAAATGGAGTTCGGATGAAGAAATTAGGAGTATTTGAAGTTGGCCAGAAAAAAAGGGAAAACAACAACATCGACCAAGTCGGAATACCCGACATTGTAGTAGCACGTAAGAGCATGTGAACAGTAACCAACACTCGAAATTAGGCTCATTGGATTTGTAAGACAATTTCCCTTCTTGTAACGCGGGGCCCATGTTCAATTTTTGTGTTTATTCTGGTTAAATGTGGTCCGAACACGTGGAAGAAATCATTGAGCTCATTTTTTTAAATATGTGATTTACGGATTCTCAATCAAGCAAGAACCAAAATCAAAAGGAGACTCTCTTCCTTTCCCTTCTTAGCACACTCTTCCATTTACAAATACCTCACTTATTTGGTATAATACATTCATATACATGCAATATACAAACTTTAAACAAGGTGAAAACAGTAGGGCTTTTACACCAACACACAAATATTAAGGTAATACTTAATTATGTTATAATTAAAGTGACTTATTAGTATTATTTATATCATCATACACAATCCAAGATATTGGTATAGATTGTGTGTTGGAATGACCCGATATTAAAATTATAAGTCTCTATATTGTTGTCACGTGATTTGGCGAAAGCACCAAATTCAACACCATTAGTAGCAAAATATTTTTATACTTTAAGGAATCTTGGAACAATATCATGAATGGACCAATGACACTAAAATGTATATAAATAGTGTCATTAGTATAAAATTAGAAGCTAAAGACTTAAA